GACGAAATTGGTTGTGCAAAGTGTTTTAGGCTACATCAGCGTGAAAGTTTCGACAAAATGACTTTTGATTGTGACAAGGATGCAAAATATTGTCGCGTGAAGTGTTGATCGACCCCTGTTTTCAAGTTGGCTCTCCACTTTCAGGGCGTGTTAGCCCTAATTAGAGAAACGTACGGAGCTGTGGGGCTCACGTCTGTATTCCCGTTGGTTCTTCTGTCAACGAGCTTATTCGTATGTACTTACTAATTTTCGCATAGCTGTAACGTATTGTTATTTACCACCTTGTTTATCTACACTTGCAGCGCGTATCCTTCAATCTGATCAGCGCGTTGAATAGTGGCAGTACATGATCTCGGCGATCAGCTGATTGTCGACACCTCTGCCGTTTGCATTAGATTGCGGCGCTTTTAAGTAATAAAACAGCGAAAATTCAATTTCTTTCGTTTTCTGAGTTTTGAGACAATCTTCAGTGAATTTTCCTTATCTCGCGAGTAGAATCTTGGCTTCAGAAAACCGTATCGGTCCATAACTGTAACTTTTTTGGTGATCACATTTTTTTTATATACTTTGCTTTATATCTTTCATTCGTTTCCCGAGAACGAGATACTGTTGTTTCCGAGTTGTGCTCTGGTGTTTTCCCTTTACTTTTGTCGTTTGTTGTCATTATGACGATGGTTGAGACTATATACCGGAACACGTTTTCAATAAAATTCAGTTGAAAGTTGCGCCTTGTTGTGTCCTCCGTAACTTTTTTGGTGATCGCGATTTTTTTAGGAATGTTTTGCTTCATATCTTTCATTCGTGGCGACGACAAATCGTAACGACTACTATGTTAGATTCGTGCATTGCTGTATCGGGGCAGGCTGGGGCAGGTGATGCGAAGAGACGACCGTTCTTATCGGCACGATGTGATGTACTAGTGGGAGTTTTTTTTTTTTTTTCTTAACTCGACAGTGTGAAACTGAAGTCCGTTTGAGGCTGCAGCGGATGTTCAACGACGGTACAGTGCAGTTCTGTCACCTTGCTGATAGCAACGAGTACCGTCGATGCAAGGTCTCGTGACCTGACCTCTCGACGACTTCTATTCGACGATTTCCGGGCATTTTCGCAGCTGCCGTGGCGAGTTCGTCACTGTTTTGAACTTCATCGGTCGCAGGCTTGACTTGGTTTTAGTAGTCATCTTACCTGCCTACTTATATCCATGATGTTTTGTCTTCAACGATGTAGCGAGTAGAGTGTCCTTCTCGCGTTCGGTGAGATTTGGGGCCCCCGAAGGCTCCTTCGCCTCAAAATGTGAGATCGAAAACTACTACCACTGTCAAAATATCCTGTTATCAACCGATATTAAACACACAATCACAGATGTAAAGAGCATTCGTGTTTATTTGAAGCTTTGACTTGTGTTATTAAAAGTTAAACGAAAAAATGATTGAATTTGGAGACCGTTAATTTGTTACTCACCGAAGAAATACAGCGAAAAGCAGACGCCAACGAAAACTACTACGGCAGTTTTTTTGTTTTTTTTACATCACGTGATTCCTTTTTGCCAATCGTATTCGTCGCTCTGAGCGTTTCCTAGTTTGCTCTGTTTGTCCCTAGATTCCCTACGCAAATCCAGCGCTTAGCTAGGGGTGCGTCTGTAAAGCCGGCTTAACGTTGGTGCAACCGGAATTTAAACCCGTGCTTACCTAAGCTCGGTTTAGGGCGCTAAGCCGGCTTAGGAAAGCGGCGTTGGTGCAACCGGCCCTTAGTCCTCGTTTTACTAGGATGTGCTTCCGGCTCCCAACCTTATTCGCAACTCCAATGCGCCGCTCGCCCTCCCGCGGACGAACGGAGAACCAGAGGACCGGGGACGGCGGCGGCGGCGGTGGCGCGGAAACGGTGGCAGGGACTGTCGGCCTTGATGCGCGAAGCCGTTTTAAAGGGACCATGAAATGACCTTTTTACTTTTTCCAGATAACTTTTACATTAAACCGTCAATGTTCACTGAATGCCGAACAGGCATCCGTTTTCGTCTCGGTTTATTAACTTCTACACAAAAAATTATTGAAATATCGACTTTTTTAATTCTCTCCAACTGACCGCAAAAGAAGCCGTGACGTAGGCCGTTTCCGGAACCGGAAGTTCTCTCGGCAGTAGGAGAACGGGAGTGTTAGCGGCAACGAGTTGGGGTGCGCCGGTAGGTTTTACTGCGCTCATGTCACCGACGTATTTCCTGAATCGGCGCCTCTCATCGCCCCATCGCAGCTGAGCGAAATTCAATGAGATATGTTGCGCTACAGCGACAGCATGGGACTAGTCCCATACGCCGGTATGCCTGTTGGGAAGTGCAGCGAGTCTTCAGGTGAAGACTCCAGAAGTCAACCACCCCGTCATTGTTGGCAGAAGGGCCGGCCCGTGTCAGTCGTTTGCAAAGCGACGTAGATGGCGTTTTTCGCGGCCTCGGAGATGCAGGAGCGAGCCGACGTTAAAAAAGATACGTTTGAACCACGAGTGTCAGCAAGAGCCACGTAAATACCTGGGGACCTATGTTGGACTTTCGAGAAACTAGAAACAGAAGTGACGTAGTGGCAGGTGACGCGTAACCAAGCAACGGCGCACACCGCGAAACCGCCCTCTATGACGCCGTGACGACATGGCAAGATTGGCGTCTGTCACTCACTTGAGAGGCGTCAAGAGCCAACCGCCGAAGAGCGGAAGTAGCTACGCTGTCCCCCTGCCGTACCTACGCTTTCCCGGTGGTACCTAGTCCCTACGCAAGCGTCCGTTTCTCCGGCAACCGGAAAGGCATTTTCTGCTTTTAGTCAAGCGATGGCAGCCAATCCCTTGCGGCGGTGACCTTCACATCGGCTCTTTTTTAAAGAAACTTGTCAAACTAAAAAAATACACGTGTTCTATTGAAATGAACAACTGATTTTGTAGCGGTTCTAGAAAATATTAGATGCAATAAACTCGCATAAAAGGTTAGAACAACATGCGGGACGCGGATGAGCGCCTAGTTCAAATTACTGGCGCTCATGACTGCTCATGAAACGGGAGGATGTGGCCTCTCTGGTACGCGGTGCAACTGAGCTGAGCCCGGCGCTGTCCAGAGACGACAAAGTTCGTCTCTGGAACGAGCTAACCTCCCGGCTCAACTTCCTCGGGCCTCCAAGGAAGGAGCCGGAAGGTTGGAAACGCTACTTGGCCATGCGGGTGTCTAAGGCGCGGGCGCGGGCTACGGAGCTGGCGAAACAGGCGAGGTAATTTGCGTAGTCTACTCATAGTTACTTCCTTTACCCGCAGGCAAACAGGGGGCGGAGGCGCCCGGGTGCGCTCACTGGCGTCATCATACTCACGTATTTTGACGCTGGTGGGCGAGGACTCGGCCCTGGGCGCTCCCGGGTTTTCTTTATTTGAAACCAAGAGGCCTGCACCCTAGCCACAACTTGGCACCCGCATGAAACTAGCCTCCGGGTTTGCCATTTTTCTTATATCGTAATAAAGTGGAGATTTGGGCCAGTTCGTTCATTGCAAACAGAAAAAGCGACGAAAAAAACATAGGGACGCGGCCGAAGGGAAACAGGACAAGGTGCACTCTCAACTTAAGTTGAATTTCCAATAAACTTCAGTTGAAAGTGCGTCTTGTCCTGTTTCCTTCGTCTGTGTCCCTGTGTTGTTTGTTTTCTTATATCATTGTTGATCTCAACAGGCCTCTACTATAGAATCTGTCATGCTTCCATGTGCGACAAAACACAAACGAAATGGCAGTGTGCTGAATTAAGTGAAGTGTGAAATAATGTCTGTGATATATCCTGGATAATGGCAAAGAGTTTATACACTGTTTACTAGTCCATGCTCAATTTCACTTTAAAGAAAGTATTGCAACCTGTGTTTTCAAACATGTTTATTTTTCACGTTACGGCATTGTTATAAAAAAAAGAAAGCACTTTCAGAGACATACTGCTTGTTGTCTTCTTTATACATTCAAACAGACACAAATCCAATATGCGATTATCGAGTAATACACTTGGCTCTGTGGTAGCCATAATAGATTGTAAAATGGAGCAGGGCAATGGAAGTGTAGAGAAAATGAATCAATGTCCAAACCCGATACAAACAATATATTGCAGTAAAAGAAGCAAAACAGGTCTCACCAGTAGCCTCATTGAGTTCTCCGTTTCCTACAAGGGCGAGCCAGATGCCCCGTTGGCTAGCTAAATAACCCTACAAAACCTTCTGTTATTGTCCCACGCATCTTACGCACCCTGCTTGCAAATTAAAAAAAGGCTCTATCAACATCACCGTGATGCACCGAATAGCTTTTCGGAGGCAGTTCTACATGTCCGTAAAGGTAACACGGTGGTTGTGCGATGAACTGGGCAAAGCGTTGGAGTTGACACTGTGGAGCTTATGGACGGCCATGACTGTGGAGCAAGAACTGAAGCACATGCTGCCACGGGGGGGGGGGGGGGGGGCTTCTTTGGTGGCGAGGGCGTCAGTCGAGGTGAGGACGACGAGGGGTTCGCTGTCGTCGGTGGCGTCCCTGATGGGCGGGACCTCCGTTGTGGCGACGGACTCCTTAACGCTGGTAGTGTCCCTGGTGGGCGCAACTGCCATCATGGCTTCCGTGGGGCTCCAGGGAGGCACGGCCGTGGCGGGTTCCGAACTGGGCAACAAGGCGCTGCCTCAGAGCCCTGCCCCTGTCCGAGAGGCTGACCCGAGGGTGGGCAGGAGCCAGCCTCTCGTCATCCGCGACTGACCCCTCCGAGCTTGGCCCAGACTCCAACCTTGGCTTGTCAGGGTCACAGTCTGGCTCCGATTCTGGCTCCCTCGATGAAAGGCAGATATTGTGGAGCACTGCACACGCCGATATAATGACGGTGGCTGTTGTTGGATGATAATACAGAGTCCGATGCCTTTGCAGACACTGGAATCTGCTTTTCAACAGCCCAATGCAGCGCTCCACAACGGACCTTATCGAAGAATGTGCCTTATTAAACCGGCCGCAAGCGGTGGAGGTCGCGTGGAATCCAGGGGCAGGGGTGATGAGCCAAGGCTCCAAGGCATAGCCGCTGTCACCTGCAGAGTCAGAGAAGGAAATGTAAGATATTAACGCTGTTCTCCTTAAAAGAATACTTCAACGACAGTTGAAATATACCCGTCGTGTTCAGAAATAGGCTGAATATGATCCACAATACCCGTAAATGACAATTGCACATTTATATTTTGAGCCTGATGGCTGTATTTTTCATTATAAACAGCCCACACTGGCAAGCGCTCGGAGAGCAGCCAGCTGAGAGCACGTCAAATCCGGTGCAATTGTGAAGTAGTTTATCTCGGGATGAGCAAAGCTGCGGTGAGGCAGACGTCGTCAGGATGCCCTAGCTGTTCCAGCAACCAAAGCGGTCGAAGCACGCCAGCGATCGGGCCACCGCAACTAACCCCAAAGCTGCTTTGTGTGAATTTTTAGCGACGGGTTAATCTTCTATCATCTTGGGACACACAAAAGAGAGTCCCGTTGAGTGTGGAGTTCCTCCCTCCACTTTTGTGCTCGCCGTATAGCTGTCCGTATGACGTCAGGTTCAAAGCATGTATAGTTCTAGGTAAGACAGTTATCATCACCACCTGTCAAGGTTCCTAGACGGGCATTACAAACGGCTTTAGCGACATCTAGAAATTGCTCTTTGCTAATCGCCTAATTTTTTTTAAATGCCTTTTTGTGCCTTTTTTAACAAGATATGGATGTGTCCGATGTGATACTGCTCTTTTGAACACGTATAGACCGAAAAATAAGCACCGAAATTTCATTGTACTATTCCTTTAAAATTGTTGACAACTAAGCAGGTAAAACTGCTGTTTGCAACCTAACCTCCCCCCCCCCCCCCCCCCCCCCCCCGTAGTTGACAGCTGCGTCAGAGTGTTTCCAAGGAGACGTGTCACAGGTGTGGCCAGAGCGCATGCCAGTTATTCATGTTTGGAACAGTATATGTGATATTGTAGCTTATAAGTGGTGCAGAGCCATCATGTACAGAACCAACAAATAAAGTATGCTTACCGAGCAGGAGCCTGCCATCGTCTATCAGCCGGCCTTGCTCGAAGTTGCTCCGGAGCCATGAGTAGCGCCACGCAAAGGAGTCGTGCAACGACCCAGGATACCGTGGGTCGATCGATGCTCATCACCCGGCAGTCGGCGTCACACCTGCAATAGTGAGACATATGTCGACATTAATTCAACTGAATCCACAAACAATTGATTGCACTCATTGTCATGGGGCCCTGTCAAACACTATTTACATGCTGACCAACACAACACCATAAATTATGTAATCTACAAATTTAAAGTATTAAAACAGCGCAAAAAAAAAAAAAAAAAAAAAACGACGAAGTGAATGGAGGACACAGGCAGAGCGCTGTCCGTTACAAAGATTAATATTATATGATAAATAGCCACTACCTTTGATCAACGTAATAGTTTAGGCAAATTTTTTTTTCTTCAAAGGAGAGTTTACACTTTATCATGCAGGATAGGGACAAATGCTTAAAAGCTTAACACGACATGAAAACAAACAGAGATCGAAAGCTCTTCAGCTAACAAACCCTCCCTTCTTTCGTCGAACAAACGCTTGTGCGGAGGATGAACGAGTACTAACAATTCAAAACTCTCATTTATAAAATGGCATATCCACACCGTATTAGCGTTACGCTCTTTTTCAAACCCATTCAGAATGGTCATTGATCTATAGCTAAAAGCGCGAGCTAGCTGCTTTGGATAAAGCCCCGACGGCTGCACGAGCGCTCGTGCAGCGAGTGCTCCAGTCAAGCCGTTCGCGCTTGCACTCATGCTAAGGTGAGACGTAGTATATATGTGATCGTACATACCCCTATCACGTTCAGAGCGTAGAATTGTTTGCGGCACCAATACGCCGCCTTCGTGACGGTGGGGTCGTTCTCTGACGGGCCGACGATGGCGATCATCGTCCCGTCGACGCAACCGATGACGCCGGGTATCCTGCCGAGCCGTTGGAAGCCCCTCTCGACGCCGTCCCTCTTGCCGGTTGTCTGGGGAAAGTCGATCTAGCCGCGCCGGATCCCCAGACGCTGCACAATAGCGAGGGACACAGCCCGCACAACGATGCCGACTGTAGCCTGATTCCTCGCTATGTGCTCTTCGCTCGCCACCATGCCCTGAAAGCTCCCCGCACAGTTTGCTCACCGTGGCGTAAAAGCGAAGTGCGCACAATACTTGCTGTTCCACAGACATCACCGTCCACGAACCTCGCAGCCTCAACTCTGGCTCCTCGCGCAGTTCGTCTCACAATCAACGGACCACATTCTTGGTGAGACGGTACTACCTCCGAAAAGCTTCCTCCGGTAGTTCAAAGGCATCGCGGTGTCGCGGTGCAGCCGGTGGAGCCTTTCCGGACGGAAAAAAAAAGTTGAACAATAGAAAGACTGTCGCTCTGCCTCCGAGACGCCGTGTTTCCAATTTCGCTACCGCGAAGAGACCATCGACAGACTCGTTCCCTTTTCAGACGAAACACCGAGGAAACGATACGTCAAAGTGATGTCACTTCCGCAGTCTTGGGTAGTAACGCGTTACTAGTAACGCGTTACTGTAATTTCGTTACTTTTTCGGTAACTTGTAACTGTAACGAGTTACTTTTTAAGAATGTAACTTGTAACTGTAGTTCTATTACTTTTTTCTGAGGTAACGATGAAAGTAACGAAGTTACTTTTGTCGTTACTTTTCAGTTCTTTGTGAATAATATATCATTAAACGAGTATAATCTAGCTATTCCTTGCACTTTCCAAAGTGTCTGTTCCGTCATTTTGAGTGTCAGTTGGCCTTGCACAAACTTGAGAATACGTTCTTTCTCGCGAGTCACTATCCGAATATAGCCACGTGTAGATTTGATGAAGAAAAAAAAAGAGGTATGTAGTTATCTTTACGCACTTGCTTGTACTTTGTGACTGAACACTTACATCTTAGTATACTGAAGCACTACCTCTGTTGCGGTTTTTTTCTTTTCTGCGCACGCATTTTAATCGGGTGAATCAGCCGTGAAACAACAATACACGCGGAGGGAACTTCGTATGTTTCGTATTTTGATTAGCGCCACTACTCCGCACTGCGCATGTTTCGTATTTTGATTTGCGCCGCTACTCCGGCGTGGTTTCAACGGTGGAGGCAAAATTTACTGTTGTTTGCGCAGGGCTTGTTTCTGGTTTGCCGGGTACGAACTGAGATATATCAAAGGAGTCCACGAACACAGCGCAACCGTCAACGAGCCAGCAATGTGCTAGTGCTACAAGGATAGGGATGTTGATGAGAACAGAACAAAGAACAAGCATGGCCGGCGTACAGAGTATTTTTCTGTGGTAAAGTTGGTTGCTAACTATTTGACCGCAGTATGCAAACTTTGCAACAAGGAGTACTCCGACAACAAGTCTTCGTGTTCAAATCTGAGAAAACACATCCAGTTCAATTTTTGTCTTTATTCTTTTCATAATATTGACTAATTTTCCAGCTAAATTATTAAGTTTGAATTTACCGCTATGGTGAAAGCCCGACTGATTCGTGTCTGTATTTTTTTCTTTCAAACATTAGTTTTTCCTTAATTTTTGTGTTATAGAAAAGTAACTGAAAAGTAACGTCGTTACTTTTTGAAAGTAACTGTAACTGTAACGAGTTACTTTTTTGTTGCGGTAACTGTAACGGTAACTTCGTTACTTTTTTGTGAAAGTAACTGTAACTGTAACGAATTACTTTTTAAAAGTAACTTACCCATGACTGCGTTACTTCCGGTGGGGGCAATTCGCCGTCTCCGCCCACATTTTCGTAGGGAACTTTCGTCATTCGAGCCTCAACCAATCAGACGCGATGTCGTCACTTCCGTTTCTTTTAGGAGAAACGAAACATTTGTCCAACATAGATCCCCTGTTTACAGTCGGAGCGGACGCGCGCGCTTGATGGAAGTCTCCCTATTGAAAATATTTCTAAAGGGCCCGTCAGCCTTGAAGGATTATGAGACCTCACAGGCCTTCAAAACCCTTCAAAAATACCCCACAGAAAAACCCTTCAAGGATACCCCATAGAAAAGCCCTTTAGCCCCACAGCCCTTTAACCCGTCAGGCCCTTTAGCCCATCAACCCTTTAGACGCCCAAATGACTGTGAACCATAGACAAAAATGCAGGTCAAAACACTGAAAATTTATTGCCGACATTTAGTTTTACATGCATATTGTAACTCAAAAAGCAACGCTTGTTCAAACCCGGCGCAAGGAGCTGTAGACGAAAGAGATCACATCAAACAGGGACAACTGACATCCTTATCAAAAAGAAAAATACCTTTCAAAGTACTCACAATGCCGCTGGGTATATTCCTGATGTACGGTAGTTCAGCTAATAAAACCAAGCAGGTGCACCTCACGGACACATACACAGTCTCAGTAAGCACGTTTAGCGAAAACCACAAACTCGTAAGCAGCACCCGCCGCCGTTGAGAAATCCCGAGCACAGTCACGGTTTCGTCCATGATGAGATCGCGCCGGAGTCTTCGGCGTATTTTTCGCTCGCTGGTCTGAAGTCGGACGGACGAAGAGGCGCAAGGAACAAGTCCGGACAGCGGCCGTCATCCACCGTCTCAACACCCACAGTGCCATAATCCCGGTGCGCAGGCACAACATGCGGTGGGACGCTGACCCCGACTGCCAGGCTTTGCAGCGAGTAAGCCGACACCGGCCACCATCTCCTTGAATGCGCTGAACACAAAGGCGCTCGAGCGGTGCTGAAGGCGGCCTGCGCCGAACTATGGTTCACCTGCGGTACCAAGAAAGAAACTGCACGGATCAAAACAGACCAAGGGGCGAGCCCCCAAAACCATGCATGCTCACCTTCCTGGAGGAAATTGGTCCGCTCCAAACATCCAGGCTCGTGGGATAACCGGAACCGCACACGAGCAGAGAGAAAATGGCTATGGCCTCCGCCGCTTGCACACACCACCCTCCTCCCCCCGACCGCTGGCCTGGCAGCCCCGCACCCTCTCCCCATCGCCGGGCGGAGAGAGGCGATTGCTTTTTGGGGACAGTCCCCCGTGGAAGACCGGTTCCCGGAACGAGTCGCTCCCGCGTGCGTCCCTGTTCCTGGAAAGCGCGCACTGCTCTCGGCTTGTTCTTTTTTTTTTTTTTTTTTTTTTTTTTTTTTTTTTATACATGGTTGCACGTATTTCGCCTCGAGCGGACAGGATTGCGTTCGCCTCAAAACGCCGCTCGGCCAACACCACTCGGCCCGCGGCTCGTCAATTCTCCACATGGGCGGTCGCCCTCAGTAGCTCTTTCGCGACCGAACACCCGGGCAGTGACAGACGGGCCCAGGAGCCCACTCGTATTTGATAGAAGAGCAGTAATAAAAATCTGACCGTACTCACACACGATCGGCATTCTCCAAATACTTATTTTTTCCCCCGTAGCGTACAATAAGCAGCTATGTTCATTAATTCTGCGAAATGTGTTTTTTTCCACCTGGGCCGTTGCCCACACAGACATATCAAGAGGCCTGAAGGTTTTCCCGACCCCATTAGAAAAGTTCTTGACAGGCTTTCAGACATTTCAAGGCATCGTAAAGGGGACTTTAGACATTTCAGGAGAGCCTCTGACGGGGCCAGTGAACCCACCAGGAAATATCGGTGCCCCCGTCAAACATCTCAGAAATTCCTGAAGTCCCTTTCACACCCTTTAAAAAACTCCTGAAGTCCCATCAGAGCGATTTTCAATAGGGCTTGTATTCGCGCTGTTTGTAAGCGCTTCGGGACCGTTCTTTTACGATTGCAACTCGATACTGACGCGAGACTCGGCAAAGAAAGGTTGGACCGGGGTTGTACGTATACCTCCCACGAACTGTTATAGCTCGACAGTGACGTGCAGTCTGTCAGAATAAAAATGGCATACCAATAACAAAGTGTACATACCGTGTTACGAAGGTAATCCATACGGCGTTTATTTCAGCTCTATATCACACAAAACAGAAGATAGAATCGACGAGAGTCCCTTTTCGACGAGTGTTCGTCAACACTGCCTCGGAAAACAAGGGGGAGAGATTGACAGTCATGGGTAAGTTACTTTTAAAAAGTAATTCGTTACAGTTACAGTTACTTTCACAAAAAAGTAACGAAGTTACCATTACAGTTACCGCAACAAAAAAGTAACTCGTTACAGTTACAGTTACTTTCAAAAAGTAACGACGTTACTTTTCAGTTACTTTTCTATAACACAAAAATTAAGGAAAAACTAATGTTTGAAAGAAAAAAATACAAACACGAATCAGTCGGGCTTTCACCATAGCGGTAAATTCAAACTTAATAATTTAGCTGGAAACTTAGTCAATATTATGAAAAGAATAAAGACAAAAATTGAACTGGATGTGTTTTCTCAGATTTGAACACGAAGACTTGTTGTCGGAGTACTCCTTGTTGCAAAGTTTGCATACTGCGGTCAAATAGTTAGCAACCAACTTTACCACAGAAAAATACTCTGTACGCCGGCCTTGCTTGTTCTTTGTTCTGTTCTCATCAACATCCCTATCCTTGTAGCACTAGCACATTGCTGGCTCGTTGACGGTTGCGCTGTGTTCGTGGACTCCTTTGATATATCTCAGTTCGTACCCGGCAAACCAGAAACAAGCCCTGCGCAAACAACAGTAAATTTTGCCTCCACCGTTGAAACCACGCCGGAGCAGCGGCGCAAATCAAAATACGAAACATGCGCAGTGCGGAGTAGTGGCGCTAATCAAAATACGAAACGTACGAAGTTCCCTCCGCGTGTATTGTTGTTTCACGGCTGATTCACCCGATTAAAATGCGTGCGCAGAAAAGAAAAAAACAGCAACAGAGGTAGTGCTTCAATATACTAAGATGTAAGTGTTCAGTC